GAAATACTGATTAATGACTTGAAGTCAGGAGACAAGTGGAAGATGGGAGTAGGGATGGAGAGCAGTGACAGAAAGTCATGGACCAGGAAAAAAAAAGTCATCGACCAGATGAGGGAGTCTTGTAGGGGACTGCCACATGGTACAGGAAGGGATCTCTTCAGTTCATATTCCTTAAGGTACTCTGAACATGAATGCAATCTTTCTCTCCCAACCAGCCCCCTGAATTGCCCAGCCTGGCTTCTAGCTGCCTGCCTAAGTCAAAAGGTGCATTGGTAAATCAAGTGAAGCCCTATTTCCAGTCTCCCCCCCACCTTCTTTTAAACCTTGCATTCAACAGGCTGGCTGTCCCAAGGGAGAGGGAATAAACAAACAGGAATGATGGACTTTGGTCACAATAGCAGACATTTATATAATGAGCCCTTTCCAAATATTGTCTCATTTAAGCATCACAATAAGCCCTGGGAGTCAGTGGGTATTAGAAGAATTAATGTGCCCAGTTTACAGATGAGAAAAATGAAGCTCAGAGATGATCATTTAACCTATAATTGCATAAGTAGCAGACTAGACTGGAACCCAGCCCTCTACCAACTCCAAATCCCCCACCTTTTTGGCTAAAGTCTTCTGGCTTCTTAATGCTCTATGGCTAGGAAAGGGAATTCTAACATCGGTAATATACACACAGACATCTACAGTCTTCCATTCTCAGGTTGGGGTATATTCTGGTCCAACCTTGCCTGCCCATGAAGTCCTTCTCCCCTGATGTAGTACTGCTTTCCCAGGCTAACTGCAAAATAGAACTGCTACTGAGTTATAGGTAAGGATAAGGCCTAGATGATGGAAGTGACTTCCGGAAGGTTACATTGGTAGTGAGTGGGAGAACTGGAATCTGAACCCAAGGCCTCCGATTCCAACTACAATGTTTATTCCTAACCCCTTCCCTCCCACTGCAGAACACTGACCTTTGATGACTGATTTCCTGAAGCTACAGCAAAGCAGAATCCCACAGCAGGGGAAGTGATGTAATAACATTAGCAGCCGTAGCAGTTAGCACTCAAGTAGCACTTTACATACCTTATCTCGTGTGTTCCAAAAGCTGACTCAGTCCCTATCAGTCCCGGTCAAGTCCGAATCAGTTCCTGACATCCTTTCATGTACCCTCAATAGACGCTTATCCCTCTGTTTGAATTTTTTTATGTGTTCAAACTTTCTGGGGGAATGATCCCTAACTGATAGAGCCAAAATAAGAGAGAGGCCAGGAAGTCACCAACCTTGGAGCGGAAAAAGTGAGAGGAAAAAGCCCTTCAAAATATGATTCTGACTATCCAGAGCTCACCGTATCATTTGGATGGGGTGTGGGGAGAGGAGAGTGGAGAATATTAAATCAGCCCTTCACCCTGCTGTCAACTTGTAAGGCCTCCTGATTTTCCCTCAGGCAACGAACGTTTTGTCCCAGAATAAAGTCTAGGAATGACAGTTCCGGTTAGGGAACTCACCTCTACCTCAGCGCTTGACACTGTCCGATGGCGTTTTCCTCCTGGCTGGGACCAAGACCCGGGAATCTGGCCCAGATCCTTTCACGTGTACACAACTGGATTGTTTTCAAAAGCAGCCCGCCAACTGGCTCCGCCTCCCACTCCTCTCTGGGGCAGTTGGTGGCCCTTTGGCGTTCATAGAACAGGCCAGATAGTTTCTCTCACTTTCCCCCTATGGAAGGGGGTGCTATTCCCGTTCATCCAGAGTTCCCAAAGATTTCTTAGCCTAGGAACTCCTTTCTTGGTCTTTCCCCGACTTTTCAAGGCACCCGCGAGGCCCAGACTTGAGTGCCTTTATGAAGCGATAGATAAATGAATGGAGGAGTGGAGTCAAGAGGATCAGGTGAATCCGATGTGTTTGACCTTATGAAATCTGCTAATCACCCTTATGAGCTGGCTCTGCTCCTAACCCTAGAGAGGCCCCGGCACAACCTAAAACGGGACATTTTTTCCTATGTGGACATACGTAAGTGGTCGGTAGGATTGTGAGAAAGGGTGGGGCGCTTTTGTCAAATTCAGACCTTCTTTGTGACTTCTGGCATCGAATAAAGCCGAGCCAATTCCCCGAGAAACTTGAAAGCAACGACCTCTCTGACCCCACTTGGGGCCTTCTGTTGTGGTTACAAAGTTTAGTAGACGTACTCCTTTACTTTTTCTCCACCCCACCCCCGACTTAAAACGTAAAAAAGGAACTGCGTCCATAGCAAGAATGTTTGACCTGTGAGCAAGGATGCCCACCCCTCGTCCTGCTCAGCCAAGCTTCCGGCCGTTGTGCCCTCCGTGCACCCTACCGAAGTCCTGACTGAGCCGTCGAAGGGCGGTCTGAAATCTGCCCCCCATTCAGAGGGAGCTGCTTATACCTCCTTGCCTTGATGTAGAGGCAGAGCTCTCCTGGGGCGCATGGGAGTTGATCAGAAGTCGGGGTGGGGTCTGAGCCCTGGTTTTCGGACTCTGCAAAGAGGTATTCCGGACTTCTTTCTGTAAAGGAAAATGGGGTCTTGAGGAACCAATCAGGTGAAAATACTTTTAGTTTTACGTTGTGTAGTTTATCTTTGTCTTCGGGAATTTCCAACTCAAGACCTTAATTGGAGTGTAAATAATACTTCCCACTAATCCCTCATTAGATGACTTCAGACTAGTTGTGAACCAATGGCGTGTGCGTTTCCGAAAGGAAAAGTGGAAGCGAAGATGGGCTTGGTCCGGGTGTCTTTTGTTTTGTAGAGGAATGAGAAAAGAGGGAGAAAGGGACTGAGAGATGGATGGACGGGGGAGAGAGAGACAGAGAAGGATGATGTCACACAGAGAGAAATAGAGGCAGAGAGGAGGGCGGAGACGTAAACAGAGACAAGGAGAGACTTAGACGGAGAGAAGGAAACCGGGACAGAAAAAGACCAATATGGAAAGAGAGAGAGAGACAGGAGAGGATGATTAAAAAAAAAAGACAGAAGAGGGAAGTAGAGGCAGAAGACAGGAATAGAGGGAAAGAGACAGACACAGAAAAGCAGAGGTGGGGAAAGGGGCGCTTAAGGAAGAGGTATTTTTTTAGATTAAAGCCATTATCTCAGAGCGTTGCCGGACTCCAGGTGAGCCCCTATTTCGGAGCGCACAAAGGGCAGAGAAGTCACAGAGCAGGATTACTGTCAATCCCGGCTCCAGAGAGGCCGGAATACATACCATCCATTCCTATAGAAAGGTAGACAAACACAGGGTCTAACAACTTCCCTGCCGAGCCCTCTTTGTCTCCTCCTTCGCAAAGGGTGGGGAGGAGGGTACAGGGAGGGGGACGTGAAGGTCGTCGAAAGGGATACAGACCTCACCAGCATCCAAATTTAGGGCCCGAGTGACAGGCAGGGCCCCCATCTAAAAGCAGCCGAACTAGGAGGCAGCAGCAGGCCCACCCAGGTGGGGCCAATACAAGGGCCCCGCCGGGCATGGGGAAGAGTGGTAGCTTCAAACTGGCAAGGAGTTGGTACTAGCAAACTAAACAGATGACCGGAGACCGTGGAGGAGTGCAAAGTGCCCAAGTCGCCAGGGTAGGAGCAAAGAGCCTTTATAGATCCACCAGGATCCCCCTGGGACAATGGGCTTCTGGGATGTCAACTTGTGGGTTGCCCAGGCTTATTCCCCACCCCTTTTTACAGGTTCACTGTCCTTCTTGATCAAGGTGCTTGAGAGCCCAGTCTGGGGGGATGGAAAGAGCGGAGCCCTTTAGGAGCGCAGAAGAGCATGCCTAGTGCCTAGTCCAGGGGAGGGGGTGGAGGGAATGGTACGAAGGGGTGTGGGCTAGTCTCCCCTGGCTGTCATCCATCGTTTCTGATCTATGTGTCTACAGTCAGCGCTTCCTTCTTTCTGCTTGGACAGCGAGGGGAGGGTGGAGCGGACAATAGTCACTTTTTCCTCCACCCACTGGTTTTTTTTTTTTTTTGCTGGGGGAGAGGGTGATGCCGGTGTCTCTTCTTGGCCACCCCCCTTTCTCTTCCACTCCAGTGCTCCTCCACCCCCAACCTAAGGAGCTCAAAATAGCCTCATCGCTCTGCCCTTTTCAGTCTCTGGAGGAAACTGAGGCTTGACTAAGGTGGCCTTACTATTGATCCTCTTGCAGATCTTCCAAAAGCAGCAAAATAAAGCCCCATTACAAAAGACAGATGTTTAGGCCGATTAGGAATGGAGGAGGAAACCTGCAGCTGCACAGGAAAATAATCCATGAGCAGATAGTTTAATAAAAAAAAATTAAAAAGGAAAATATGAAGAATCAGTTCGACCTTGCAAGGTCTTCTGCTTTAAAAAAAAATCCTTATCAAACCCCTATTCTATGGCTTCAATAAACAGAACCCATTACCTCACGGCGTCTTTTGTTGGCCTCATACAAGAGAGAACAAAATGGTTATTCAGGGGACCGCTTTCGATTTTTATTGTGGGTAGTCCGCACAAAGAGGCGTGTTATTGTATTTAAAAGAACCATCTGTAGCAGAAACAATGGCATCAAATTATCTTTGAATACCCACTGAAAAAACATAAAGCTTTTTTTTTATTCTTCTGTACGGTGGGGGGATAGAGCACTGTTGGGCTAACTGACTTTTTTGTTGTTCTCTGGGTGCGTTCTTCTCTCTCCCCTCTCCCTCTCCCTCATCCTTTCTTCACTCTCCACTCTCTCTCTCCCCCTCTCTCTCCCTCTCTTTCTCTCTCTTTTAAAAAAAATCAGGCATTTGGGGTTTTAAGCCATAAACGATCTTTCTTGTTGCAGGGGCTCGCAGTGGCAAAGCTAGGCTAGGACTTGGAGGCTTCTGGCAGGCGAGGCGGGTGGAGGAGGAAGGAGGCTGACGGATCCACTGGGGGGAAGAAAAGCCGAACTGGATTCACCGTGTCCTGGATGGAAAAGGAGGAGGAGGAGGAGGAGGAGGAGGAGGAGGAGGAGGAGGAGGAGGAGGAGGACGAGGAGGAGGACGAGGAGGAGGAGGAGGACGAGGACGAGGACGAGGACAAGGACGAGGACGAGGACAGAGAGAGGGGAAACGCGGAGCTCCTTCAACTCGCGTTGTCCGGTGAGAAGTAAGCAAGCAGGAACTGACAGGAGGCTCCGGGAGCCCTCGCCTCCTTTCGCTTTTTTACCTGCCAATCAAACCGCTAGAAGACAACACCCTGATCTGGCATGGACATGTAAGTAGCTTGCAAACCAACTTTGACATTGACTACGAGCTTTCTCTTCTCATCTTTTCTCCTGTCCTCTCTCTTCTCATCTCCTCTCCTCTCCTCTCCTCTCCTCTCCTCTCCTCTCCTCTCCTCTCTTCTCTCCTCTCCCTCCCCTTTTCCACCTCCCTCCCTCACTTTTTCCCTTAATCCCCTCCTCCTTTTTTTTCCTTTTCTTTTTTTGACCTTTACAAAGATCTGGAAACCCACCTTGTGTGGCAATCTCTTCACCCAGGGTGATCGAAATCTGGAAGCGTTAACTTTTGCAATTGTTTGCTCATTTCGTTGTCTTTAAATAAGTGCTGAAATGAAAATGGTATCTTGTTATTTTCCTCCAAACAGTTTCGTTGTTGAACACAATCATCTGCCTTGTAAGGTCATAGGTTGTTAGTGGGGTGGTTGGTGGTGGTGGTGGTGTGTGTTTCCCTTATAAAAGTAAGAAACCAGATCCGGGAAGCACCAGAGAGGAACCCAGGACTTTGAAATCTAGACTTCTGCCCTTGTAGGGTTTGCTTGGCAGCTTGCCTTTCCACAGAGCCTCTCCCGCGCAATGCTGGTTATTAAAAAGGGGAGAGCGGGCCGCAGTCAAACTATGAAGCCTACCTGGTGCTCTGCTTTTTTTCTTTTCTTTTCTTTTCTTTTTTCTTTTTTTTTTAATTAGGGGATAGGATGGGGCATATAGGGCTGGGAGAATCAGTGAACTTTATGAAATGCCCGAAAAGTGGGTGAGGGCAAAATGTCACTTGGGAGAACGTACAAGTAAGTGCTTGTGACATGTCCAAGCCAGAAACTGGACAGAATTCTTGTCCCTTGGAGACGGGGAACGAAGGGCTTACTCTCTGGTGCCTCCTAACGGTAACCTGAACGTATGTTTTACTTTCCGTACTACTGAAGACCCAGTGGCTGTCAGCTAGGGAATCTTCCTCCCCCACCCCCTTCCTATCTTCGTTCCTTCCGGGAAGCAAATTAGTCATTTCCCCAAAATCATTTTCTAAAATCAGGAATGCTCCCACCTAAAATTGCCTCTCCAAAACCGACTAACACATGTCATTTTCCTTCTCTGAGGGCGCTATAAAGGATTGTTTTGCCTACCTGAGCTTTCTTCTGCTTCTCTGATACTCTGGGGCGCGAGTAGGGGGTGAGGGGGGGAGAGGGAATGATTGGGAAATTGCAGATGTTGACACCAACTCATTATAATACAATTTAACGAGGGGGGCTCATTTTAGTCTCTGTTAGGGAGCAACGTGGTACGAGAAGGAGCACCCCCCCCTTTAAGAATTTGGTAGATAAAGGTTAATCTTGGGCTGAATGATAGAGCTGTGATTGACAAGAGAAAAGGTGTTGAGGGCAGGTCGAGCTGTCTTATTTACAGCCCACTGCTTGCTATAGCGCCTTTGTTAGGACTCGAAAGCTAATTTCGTGCTGATCAAAAGCACCACGGAGTTAAAGGACTGGTAATGACTGCTAATTTCATTTCAGCCTCATACATCCCCAACTGCTGTAATTAAAGACGTGCGATTTAAATACAGGTGAACGTAGGTTGGTGGGTTGTGTGTGGGGTTTTTTTTAAGTTGAGGGAAAAGGGGGGGTACCATTTCTATTTCGTTGTGACTTCCCTCCTCTGCTTATGAAGTGGGGGTTTCCAGCCTGGGGGTAAGGACTGTCTGCCCTGCACTGCCTTGGAGGAGGAGATGCTGTCGAATGAAGGTAGCACAGAAAATAAGACTCCTGAACCCGGGGTTCCAAGTCATACCCTACAACCGGCGTGCGTGCTAGTTACTTGAGGCTCTAATTACTTATGAGGAAGGGCCGTCTGAAAGGATTCCAAACTTGGACGAGGGATCGGTAGGGACTGGCTCTCTAAAACGCCGCCTGAAAACTCAGTTTTCGAACGCTTAGCCGGGGATGTGCGGACGGGCACCCAAGGCGCACCACCTGCTCTCCTAATGGTACTCAGGCTTTTGGGGGCAAACATAAAGTCATGAAAGCTCGACGTGTTCGTAGTTGGCTAAGACAGATACTTTCCCTCTACTAAAAAAAAATGTATTTAATCTTTCTGATTCATAAAGTCTAGAACCCTCGCTTTGGAAAGACCCTGCAAGGGAGAGATCGTCTCTCCTTGGGCTGTGGCTCACGACTCCGACTGTCCTTTCTTAGCGCGCTTGTTGCGGGCGCCCCCTTTTGGACACGAGGGGAACTGCGTCGGGGTGGGGGGGTGGAGAGGGGCTGCTTGGAACCTGCTTTCCGTTTACTGGAAACTCTTGGGAGCCTTTTCCTCACAACCCCAGTCCTCTCTCCAAAAAGTGGGAGGAGAATCGAAAGGAGGGAAATGTTGCTGTCCTTGTAAAAATAGAGGAAGAATGACAGAGCCCAATTCCTTGTCTTCTCACCCCAAAAGATTGGATTGTGGGGTGCAGGTGTGAAAGAGAAGTCGGTGGTTTAGAAACTCGAGGAAAAGCAGGGGAAAGGAGGACCGATACTCTGCTGGTACAATAAAACCTTTAAAAAGGACTTTTCCTTCTAATGTCAACGTCTTGGAGACTGAAAGAGCAGGAAGACTTGACCCACAAGGGTGGTGACCCTTCAGTGGCAGGGCCCAGAGTACTCTTGGAGTCTTTCGGCGCACATATGACAGATAGGAATCACCATTGTCCAGTGTAGTCCTCCCCATTGTTTCCCGAAAGCAATTAAAAGGGAGAGGACCGATCTGCACCCTCCCTCGTTTTCCTCCGCCCTCTGGAGCCAAAGGCAACACTTTTTCGAACCCTGGGTCCCCTAGATCTCACTCGCCCCTTGGTCTTCTCGTCTCTCTCGTGCTCTTCTATAGCCAAAGACCACTTTCCTTTCACTCTATGGTTTTAATGCACCCGCATTCCAAACCACCGTCTGGAAAGAGAGTAGGAAGGAGGAAGGAAAGGGACATTTTGAAAAAAGCTTTCCCAAACAACTCACCTGGCTGCTGCCTGGATAAGACCTCAGGCAAAACTCACTGCAACATCTCTCAGAAAGACTCTGTAGATTATGGCAAACCCCTCAGGATTTTTTCATGCGGGTTTTTGTTTGTTTGTTTGGTTGGTTTTTTAATTACCAGGAAACTGTCTTTAATGACCGCTATTGGTGGTGTTGCTTCCATTTCACACTGGTTAGGGTGTGGGCATTCTGAAACAGCCTTCAGGTTCTCTCTTAAACTTAGAATAAGAGGAGATGTAGGCTTTTCACTTTTTTTCTTTCCAAAATCATTTTCTCTAAAAGGAGTAAACTTTCTTCCTGAGCCTGACAAAATTGATCATTTTCCATGACCCCAGTTTGGGTGGAAGTGAGGAAGGTACAGGTATTTTTAGATATAGTTGATTTTACACGAGATCCCTCTCTCCTGGATTCTCTCACTTAAAAAAAGAAAACCTGTAAACTTGTTTTGGAATTGGAATTTGGTGCTTGAAAACCTTGATTGAAGTTTAGGGCTGAGTAATGACTCAATGCCAAATAATTCTGTTCTAAAGGACAACCCAACTGCATTCCCAAAGCCCAAGCAGCTCCATTCTGTCCCTATGTGTGCTGTTGCCCTATTCTCCTGCTCTGCTGCTTTGAATCATGAAAGAGGGAGAAAGGGAAGATAGAAGGGGAAAAGGAAAAGCTAAAAGTGAAAGGTGAGAAGAAAAGGAAAAGAGAGGAGAGAAGAGATAAAGGGGAAAGGGGACCAGAATCAAATGTGTAACTTAGTAATGAACTGGAAGGCCTCTTGGCTCACTAATCGAGAACATTTCTCAGAAAGACTTCAAAAGGGTTTGTGGACCTTGGGGAAGCTATAGGTAGCAGGTGACAAAGATATCCAGGAAATGTACTTGTTTCTTGTCCTGAGGGAAGGAAAAAAGAAGGAAAGGCCCAGTGGATAGGAACTAGGTGAGAAAGAGTCAGAAATAAAGACAGAGTTTAGAAGAGAAACTTCTTCACTCTTTACTCCCAATTGACACTTACAAACACCCCTGCCCAGAATCTTAATAAAGTGGAGGTTCTCACGGATGGGAAGCCATGGTGAGACTTCAGAGTAGGTACATTTTCAGAGGTACCTGTTGGTCTCTTTGCTTTAAAATAGCACCCCTTTCTCTAGCATTTTGACAAGTGCTTTCTTTACAACCACCCTAGGCTGCTACTTGTTTCTATCTTTCTTTCTTTTCAAATTCCTCCTTGAGAAAAGTAGTTTGTCCTTCAGTAGCTAAGAGAAATCCCCATTAAATCAATTAAAAATGTCAGTTTCTAAACATTTCTTAATTCTCCAGACTTCAAAGTACCCCCTAACCAGAAGATCAGTTGGGCTGGAGAAGTCTTCTTCCCACTTTTCTCCCCTCATTTCTCCCCCCACCTTTTTTTTTCCTCCTCTCTACTTTCCTCCACTCAACTCATCTCTTTTTGAGGCTACTGGGGACTCCTGCACTTTCAGGCTTGCATTTTCTCCTAATTCATGCACTGATCCATTCAGTCACTGAAGGTCTCTAAGGGTAGTATTCTCCATGCCCCAGCCCCCTTTGACCTTGATGGTAGCAGGGTCTTCTCAGTGTGCTTCCTTCATCTAGGCAGCCTTCCTTCCAGTCCATCTGTCCTCCTTCCTTACATCCCCCATCCCCTTCCTTTAAGCTGGCAAAAGCACCTGCAAAAGAATGGGAGTCAGCTGGTATCTTATCTTGGGCCACTGTTTCTTGAAAGTGACCCTAACACAGGGGCAGCTAGGCGGCACTTACTAGCTGTGTGACCCTGGGCAAGTCATTTAACCCCAATTGCCTAAAAGGAAAAAAAAAGTGACCCTAACAATACCCTCTCCAAACAGAGAAATAGATTTTTTTCCCCCCATGACCTATAATCCCTCTGGAGGCTTAGCCTCAAACCCACCTTCTACTGTGGAGGCTATTCTCCAAATATTGGCTGGTGGTTGGGATAGTGATTGAGAATGTTGTTAATGGTAATGGAGGACAACA